GGATTGCTCCTGGGATGGCTGGGTCGTGGCATGATGTTACCCTTTGGTAGTTCTTCCATTGCTATTGCATCTTCGAGCGCTACTTCCATGACCACGAGGACAAGGGCAAGTACCAGGGCAGTGATATCTCCTTTTTATTGATCCGGTATTGGAACAGAAAAGAGTATCCCGCACCTATTTCCCCAGAGGTGACCCAGGGTTATCAAACCCACGAGAGGAAGATTGCCTTGAAGAGATGGTCTCTAGCAAGCTTTCGCCAAAGTGTCAAATCCAGCTTCTGACCGGATCGACAAGCAAATAGTGATTCAAACACTTATAATAAAAAGAGGTACGGGTATGAGGTCTTATGCTTACAACCTTGTATTTGTGCTGGGATCAAACAATATATTAGTTTATGCGCTGGAAGTCACCCGTCGAGATGTGCTTGTTGCAGATCAAAGTGGGGGACATGTCCAAATAACATCTCGACTGGCATGAGTCCTGCATGAAGAATCAGTTGTCCTACCGCATGCCCTATCCGTCGCGCGGGGTTGCCTTGATAATTAAGATAATGAAATCAGACAAGAGCTTCGGGCATTTAATGACTACACCTAATTTCTCCCCAAGGATATGATCCATATTGCCCTACTAAACCTTACTATCACTGGTGTTCAGTATAACACTTCACGGTCTCCTTGCTCCTAGCATCACTGGTGGTCGATCTCCATGATCCTGGGTACCTGCGGGGATCAAGATCACGGACAAGACAAGAGAAATCTTCATGAAACAATTTTATTTCACACATACGGGACGTTATGTCGAAGTCTTCCATTGATCCCATCAACAAATACCTCGGATTACAAGTCTTAACCCATACCTTACCGAACTACTCACATATGGAGAGCAGATCACGAGAAAAAAACATTGAAGAACACATCTGAGATTGATTGTTTGATTGCAATATATTTTAAAATGGATGTCTTGTGCGATGCATGTACAAGTATGAATGGGATGGATGAGCACTACGGTGGTGGTGGAGATGGTGACGGCTAGGGTTTGCGGATGAGGATGATGGTGAAGAGGTTCTGGCTTCTGTGCTCATCTCCTTGTTGACATTTCGACGGGGTCCTTTTAACGAAAGTTGTTTAGGTGGACGACCTGCCTTGGAATTCACGCCATACGAACGCTCAGAACGCCGTCTTTTGTGTTGTTTTCACGCAGACATCTCCTGGTGATTCCTTCTTCCTCCATTCTCCTTCCATTCCATTTTCACACGTGATTTCTTCCCTTTTAGTCCATTTCTTGTGGAAACACATCAAAGAGAGGATTTGGAGAATCCTTTGCATTCATTATTCATTAGTATCAATATCGGGGCGAATATCTCTTTTTAATTAAAATATCTCGGTTTAAGCAAAGGTGAAATGAATGTAAAAATATCACTCATCAGGCTGCGACGTCCGTGGTTGAACTTCCTCTCTAATCCTATGAATATAACATGCTACATTTTGGTACTCAGATGGCAAATATGATAAAGTTCCCTATGCCATGTCCTATAGAAAATGCTAAAATTTGGTACTCCAATGACATGTATAATGAACTTTATTATGCTATGTTCTATTTTGATATGTTCTATATGAACTATGTTGTATATCATGTACGAACTATGAAAGTACGTGTGTTAATCCACGTTTCATGCTTGCCTATGTATTCGATTTTCGACAAAGGGTGAATTTTACAGATGTAGCATCAAGTAAATACAAACACAATGAGTACACACCTGGCCTATACATAGTTAGGATGCACACAGGCAACACGAACGCACACACATCTAGACACGCCGGCAAATAGCTAAGTCATACAAGACGAAAATTATGCATTTGTGCGAGAAAAAAGGAAAAAGATCCGAAGCGATCAAACAATGATCGACAAACTACAACAATGATCATATCCGTATCAACAATTTCTTTACATCACATGATGACTAGGTTCTTCAATAGCAACACCTTCATGAAGGGCGACGCTCAAGCGTCTTCATAGCCGGATCCAACCACCAGAGGTCGGATTCTAGGTTTTTCACTCTGAAGAACATGTCTAAGCATATCCGAGCAATGCCTTCAACAAGATATGACACAAAAATATCACCATTGTGAGGAATAACCCACTCGGGTCAAACCTAGGATTTTCACTCGAGACCTCGAGACCGGGTACTCGAGGAGCACAACCAAATTGAAGTCAATTATGTGTTGTCGCTACCACTTTTCTACGATCTCAACGACCATGCTCAGACTTGGATAGACGCAACACACCCATCGGTGTCGCACGACACGACACATGGGAGGATCCCGCCGCCATCGGGCTTTGCCCGACGGAGTAAGCCAGCCGCCGTAAGAGGGAGACACAAAGGAGGAGGTGCCGGCGGCGGAGATTGGGTGCCATCCTCTGCGGAGGTGACGGGTGTGTCTGTTAGGTCATTAGTTATTCTTGCCTATGCATTTGATATTTTGGATACGAGGGAACGAGGACAGAAGCGAACACAAACGAGGGATGGCCGGGTGGGCATATTTGCCTATTCTGATTGCAGATGCTTTTGGAGATGAAGGTTCCTAAAAGCTCTTTTCCTCCTACTGGAAAATACCTGTAGTTTTTTACTCCCTCCGTTTCAAAATATAGCGCGTCCTCGGTTTCCGTGCTTCAACTTTGACCATTAATTTAATCAACAAGACCGACTGCGGCGGGCGAAAAAATTATACCAATGAATTCGTATTCAAAAAAAGTTTTTAATTATATAATTTTTGATCCCGCCGCAGTCGGTCTCGTGGGTTAAATTTATGGTCAAAGTTGAACCTCGAAAAGCGTGGGCGCGCTATATTTTGAAATGGAGGGAGTATGTTTTAACTGCACATGTGTCACCCTTTTTTTAATAGGAACACAGTGGTAGTGGCAGTAGAATAGTGGTGGTGGTACACTCTTAGCAAGGATGCGTTCACGTGCAGTGTGTCTGAAACAAACAAGAGTCGCCAGACTAGATCGAGTAATAAATACTCCTAGTACATATATTATCATCGGAAGAAAATTAAGGACTGCGAACCCAACCCTGCCACGCACGGTCCGAAGAGGAAAAGGAAAAACCCACCCGCAACTCTCCTTGCTTGCCGTGTGTCTATAAATGCCGCCTCGCTCGTCATCGTCGTCGTCCCGTCTGCAACCCAAAAACCGTCCCCTCCTCCTCAGTGGAAAACCAACACGCCCCCTACCACCTGGCCTGACTCGACTCCTCTCCTCTCCTCTCCCACCGTCGCCCCCGACCCCCAAATCCCACCTCCACCCACCTACTCCTCCCTCACCGCATCTCCCCGCCCCCCACGCGGCACGGGCGCGCGGACACGCAGCGCCGACGAGCGGGATCGCCCAAGAACACGTAGCAGCAACGGGCACGGGGCGGGCGGGAGAGACACCCCGTTCCTTCCTTCATCCATCCATCCATCCATCCGTGCGCTGCCGCTGCATTTAGACGCAAAAATCCACCGAATCTCCCCCGTCACTCGCCTCGTCCGGCGAGCCGGTAGCGGCCAAAACCCCCGCCTTTGTTCCCATCCGCGCCCGCCGCCCGCCCGCCCGCCCTGAGCTCTCTCGCCAGCGGCCGGGTGGGAGGCCCCCAATGCCTTTTAAACCCCTCGCCGCCCCCCGCCCCCTCCTCCTGACGCCCCCGATCCCACCCACCCAATGCCGCGCCTCCGCGCCCACACCCCCCTCCCCC